GAACAGAGCCTGCTGATGATCAGACTTGGTGTTTGTCTCTTAAGGTATTTTCAATGTTTGGCCCCAACGCAAAATATATATTTGGTTTATAAGTTACAAAAGGCTTCACTGTATCTCTGGAGATTTCAGTATTGAGAATTAAGCTTTTGAAGGTATCATTTCTGACTAGGGAAAAAAAAGAATTTAATTCCCTCTTCCCTGAAAGAAATTACAGACTGCAACACAGATAAAGTCAAGGTCTTCATGTTTTCAAGCTCAGACTATCAGAAAAAGATGGGTCTTTCCCAGAGATGCATCTTTGCATCTTAAAGACATAAAATATACTTCATTCATTGTCATACTCCCCAAGTAATAGGCTTATCACATTCAAAAAATTCAGCAGAGCAGTCCAACTGTTAACTCAGAAATATATCTTAAAAATACATCTCAGAAATACAACAGAAGCACCAGTTTTGAAAGCCATACTACCAAAAGGCTGAGTGGTGTGTCATACTGGCTACCATACCACATGCAAATCTTGTATAAAGTACCAAATATTTGGCTAAGCCTCTGCTCCAATTCACTCCTTTCTAAAACTAATACAGACGCTAAAAAAGCAGCCTCACACACGTGTACTTCCCAGTTTCATATTTACCCTTGGCTACCGGACAAAGTGTAAAAAGGAGAGAGTAAAGGATGAACCTAGAATATCCACCCTGCTTCCTCTCTCTCCCCTCCCTCTCCTCCCCCTCCCTCACTTAACCTCTCACTCTGCTAGAATTTCACATATTTTACACTACAGCTCCAGAAAATTGTGCCTCCACCCCTGTGGAAAATCAAGGTGGGGGTCCTTATCTTACCTTGTCCATCTCACTTCTGGTCAAGTGGGAAAAATGTACTGTCTCAGTGCATATGCAGTGTAGTCTTATAGTGCTGGAAGGATTACATCTCTATAGTATTCTGGTACTATTCTGGTTTGACACATTTACACATCACCTCCTTCTCTGCCCAGTACAGTTAACACCTAGTGGGTAAGAAATTTTCCTCTCCGATTATCTTCTACACCGAGTTGGTGGTGTTGGTTCTGCTGTTACAGGACGTGTATGAACAACCATAATTCACAAACCCTATGCATTTATAGGTCCTTATACTGTACTACCCTATACTACCAACACTATATACAATAGTCCCAACTCCTCCCGACATTTATCTTAAAACTATCAAAAGACAAGACGTTTTTGATACTATTTTTCTTCCACCCTGTATTGTGTGTATCAGAAACTGGTCACCCAGAAACACTAAAAAAATGCAGACACAGCGTATGTTCTCACAGCCAGTTACTCTGTTGTGGTATGTGCAAGAAAGACAAGAATCTTCACGACTGGTGACTTACAACAGCTGTCTTCTCCATGATCCCATCTGTGTCCTCCTCAGGGAAATTACATATTTCAATAGGTTGTTTGGATTTGGCTTTGTTTAAATTGCTCTTCACTACAAATGAGACATTCATTGCTTTTGGAGAGCTAGTCTAACCACAGTCTTGTTTTTTCCTGCTTTTTTTCTTCATACTCAAAGCTTGACACTTACTTGTGGTGGTGCATCCTTCCCTCCCCTCCCTCCACCTCACCCCTCAGGCCACACTATGATCTGACAAATGCTCGTTTGTCAATGCCTCAGCCTTGATGAAGCACCTGGACTAAGTTCCTCCTGGGCTTATTAGAAATCCTGTCTGTTCCCAGGAACTAGTGCTCCTGTTTTTAAAGAACAGCCTTGAAAACTCCTTGCCTGAATAATACAAGTGAAATAACATTTTCATTATCAAACTTTCAAAGTCAGTTTCTGACCCGAATTGCGGACAGGATGGAAAATTACTATGACTCCTATAAACAGCAGTCCAAAATGAGATCCTTTGAGCTTTCCTAGATTGAACTGGGCTGTCACCAGCAATCTCCCTCTGAGTGGTGCCTCTCAGAGACAGCCAGCTCTCCTGTTCACCACACTTGAAGGACCATCACCAAACAACAACAGATCCTGGGCTGATACCCCTACTGCTCGAGGCTCAACCCTTTGTTTAGAAGATGCAAAGTCATCTGACATGAGTACTTCACTGAATCCTGGGGAATTTTTCACATAAGTACTTCTCTAGGTCTGTGCACCTAGAGTGTGAATATTCTATAGCAAATGTACTACGAATGTTGCTCTCCCGGATTCTAAAGTACTTCAGAGTTGTGATTTAGGCCTGTAAGTGAGATACTGTTGTGCTATAGTAAATTTTACACAAATCTTTTGTTAAATTGTTTAAGTTATCAATTAAGTGCTGTTAAGTGCTGTTAAACCGTTAGGCCTAAATTGTTTGTCAAGTCTGGGGCCCAGTTTAGCAAAGAGGTCTACTCTGAACCTTGTAAATCAATGGTATGGTTGTCCTTATTCATTTTTATCCTTACCCTTTTCTTGCCCTATCCCCCACTCCCACAGCCTCCACATATAAAATTTTTGGGTTGATTTTGGGTTTAGATTGATTTATTTTAGGTTTTAGCCTGATTTTTCTCTGTCTGCTTTAGCCATCTAGCAAATAGTAGTGTGAATCTTGCCAACAAACTTTGTCACACTTTCACTTTTATATTAAACCTGTTTTTGCTAATATATTGGCCAGTGATTCTTTAAGCAACCTTAAAACACTCATTCACAACATTACTTCTGTCTAACTGCAGCAAAAATGGAAGCCACGGAGTGGAGAGGGAGAAATAAAGTTTTATTAAGTGAAAAATGATACAAAAACCTCAATATAAATCACGGACATGACCCATTACCTCAAATCGACTACCATGTAAATTCACTTCTACATTGACATATACATCATCAGGCAAATCATCACAACTATAGTCTATAAAAGTAGCATTAGCAGTTAATTCCTTTTCTCTATGGACTGGTAAACAGAAAGCAGGCATTTCCAAGCCCTGATTAATGTCTGTAATTCAGGATATTAAAGCAATATTAAAGAACAACATCTGGTGTTAGTAGGAGTATGCACCTCCTTAATTTCCCTTGTCTCCCTTTACCACTGCATGGGCAGTGAGGATCAGCTATAGAGATTAAATGACTGTGTCACAATACCTTTCTGTGCAAAAATGCTTTCCCTATTACAGATGTTGAGTAGTTCAATATACATCTGCTTTGCTGGCATTCAAACAACTTTGGAGTTAATGCCATTTAGCTTTCAACTTCCCTTATGTATATTCCTCCATTACTGTGTAAAACCTCAGTATAAATTCTGTATGGTGTCACAGGCTTCAGGATACAGGTTCATGAGGTGTAGCAGGTATATGCAGTCACATCATCTCTCCAAGCTGAGGTAAAAGAGAAATTCAACTCAGTTTCTAGTAGCTGATTCTCATAGAGGGTAGACTCAGTCCAGCACTTTTAACAAACCATGTGCACTATGCATTACTCTGCTCTACATTGCTGGCAAAATCCTGGCAAAAATACTCTTGAACAGACTAATACCTGCTATAGCAGAGGGAATTCTACCTGTAAGTCAGTGTGGTTTCAGAGCCAACAGAAGTACCACAGACATGGTGTTTGTTCTCAGACAACTGCAAGAGAAGTGTAGGGAACAGAACAAAGATCTCTATGTATTGTCGACCTCACCAAGGCTTTCGATACTGTGAGCAGAAGAGGTCTCTGGCAGATTTTGGAACGTTTAGGTTGTCCCCCCAAGTTCCTCAAAATGATCATCTCACTCCATGAGGATCAGCACAGCCAAGTCAGATATGGCAATGCACTTTCTGAGCCCTTTCTAATAACTAATGGTGTGAAACGAGGCTGTGTTTTTGCACCAACCCTATTCACAATCTTTTTCAGCATGATGCTCCAAAGGGCCACGGCAGATCTCAATGATCAGGACAGTATCTACACATCTAATACCGTACTGATGGAAGCCTATTTAACCTAAGGCGACTGAAGGCCCACACTAAGACCTTAAACCCTCTTGTCTGGGAGCTGCTTTATGCTGATGACGCCACCCTTGTTGCCCACACAGAAGCAGCTCTGCAGCGTTTAACATCCTGCTTTGCAGAGGCTGCTGAGCTCTTTGGGCTGGAAGTCAGCTTAAAGAAGACAGAAGTTCTCTATCAACCTGCACCTCAGGAAGTCTTCCATCATCCCCATATCACCACTGGCCAATCAGAGCTCAAATCAGTCCAGCAGTTTAATTACCTAGGTAGCCTCATCTCCTCGGATGGTAAGATTGACAGAGAGATAGACAACAGGTTAGCAAAGGCATATAGTGCCTTTGGAAAGCTTCATAAAAGAGTTTGGTGAAATAAACACCTGAAGAAAAGTACCAAGATCAGTGTTTACAGAGCCATAGTGCTGTCTACTCTCTTATATGGATCCGAATCATGGGTCATCTACCGCCACCACCTGCGTCTCCTAGAACGCTTCCATCAACGCTGCCTCCGTACAATCCTAAACATCCACTGGTCAGATTATGTGACCAATACATCTGTTCTAGAACAGGCAGCAGTTACAAGTATTGAGGCCATGTTACTGAGAACACAGCTGTGCTGGGCAGGGCACGTCTCAAGGATGAAGGACCACCGCCTCCCTAAGATCTTGCTGTATGGTGAACTTGCCACTGGCTGCTGCAAGAGAGGAGCCCCAAAGAGAAGATACAAGGACTCCCTGAAACAACATCTCAGCCTTGGCCATATTGATCATCATAACTGGTCTACTCTGGCCTCCAATTGGGAGGTCTGGAGACACACCATCTATAACATTGCTGATGCTTTTGAGAAAGCACGCAGGGTCACTCTTGAGGAGAAAAGACAACGCAGAAAGAATCGTGCCCTGCAGAATATACCACCTAAGGAGTCTTTCTGCTGTGCCTTTTGCAACCGGACATGCCTGTCTTGTATTGGCCTTTTTAGCCACCAACACGCTTGCAACAAATGTGGGTAAAGCCCTTCCCAAATCTTCATTCATGAAGCCCAGCCATGATGATGATGATGATGATGATGCACTACGCATATTCACATACATAATATAACACATTAGACCTTTAATTATATCTCATCCGCCTCCTCTCTCTGCCAAAATGAGTGTTTACATTATTCTCAGTGAAACAGGATGTAAAGTCTTTACCACTTCTCCAAATCATTCCCACTTGTCTATACCATGTACAACTCAGTAGTAAATATTGTCCAAATCTGCCCTATTTCTAATCTCCCTTTTCTCTGTTTTTATTTGTTTTTTCTACTTGACATTGCCCAAAGCCTGCATGCCAAACTCCATAGGGCAGGAGCTGTTTTGGTCTATTTCCAATTAGGATCCTTAGAAAATATCAAAATACAAAATAAAGAGCAGCTAAACAAAAACAAGAGATTGCAAATACTAATATATTTATTTAAGGGCCTCAAGAAGTATGTAAGTAAAATTATTATCATTCTACATTACTGAAAAATGCGAAATAAGAATGTTTTTCATTGTGCTTTGTGCCATGTGGTAAGTCCTAAGCAGAATGAAACTTCTGCTCCCTGTGCAGGTTGCTGAGGAAACTCTCTAGGACAGTATTTAGCATTGGGATTAACATCATCCTAATCACTGTAAAAACTTCTACATTCTTCTACATTCTTCTCAAATGTCAGAGCTGGCCTCTTATGAACACTATTTTCCAAAATATTATTTCGTTTTATTAGTTAGCAAAATTTCCCGTTTTCTGCAACATCTTTTTTCACCATAATTGTTATAATACTGCATTAAAGTCACAGTCCTCAGTCCATAGTTGAGCAGCTTTTGAGCCTATGTCAAGATTATTATAGTGCCTTTTGGTATTTTTCTTGGTAGGTTTTGCTGGCATCAGGTACCGAAGGTTCTTCCAAAATCTGGAATTCACAGGAAGAGATTTATTCTTTTTCCACTTCACAACCCTCTTTGATGGTAAAAGAGACAGTGATTCTGGCAAGAAACTGTAGTCACTTATAGGCATATATTCAATTAATATGATTTTAGTTTTTCTTTCAACTAGGGCTTTATGCAGTCCACTCTCAAGTTCGTATATGGCTCTGTCAGAAACATAGTTCTGGCTCAGTATAATGATTAATCTTCGGCTTTTATCAATGAATGAATGGATATCATCAACAACTGCTGCAAATTGAAGATAAATATATTGTTAATTTAAATTGAAAGAATAGACACTGAATCGACAATTTTTTAACATTCACATACATACAAAAAATGTTCCTTTTATAATGTGATAGCATGTAAGCATCCTGTTCTTATGAAGTGATTAATACATATTACAGATTAAGAGTCTGTGAAAATGAACTCAGGTATGGCCAAAACTTTTTCTTTAGACCAGACGAAAACCTATTTATAATCGCCATCTACTCTAGACAGCTGTTTGGCAGGAGTAACATGGACAGAAGGTGACAGCAAAATTTAACTTTCTCCCATCCAGACATCTCTGCTCTTTCATCATAGATATCACCGGAGTGATTCACAGAAAGCCATCAACAGCAACCTCTCTCCAAATATCCAGTACTCTTCAGGTTACACTTTTCTTTATGACACCAAACACCCAAATCTATTGCCAGTAATCCAAGGCTGATAAGACTAGCACGTAATGGCAGAATGATTTCCAACTGTGTTTTATATTGACGACTTTTGGCATGAAAAGTGATGAATGAAAGCAAGTGGTGATACCCTTTAAACACCAGATACAATTTTCACGCACAGTTTCCAGTGCTTGTTTCAACACCACGGAACAAAGTCTACAAGGACCAGAGATCTAGAAAACATGCCTTGTAGGGAAAGGCAAAGCAAACTGCAGAAGTACCCTGAAGAAGAGAAAACTGCAGGGAAAAGGAGACTGACAAGGGTACTGAAACACCAAAAGCTCCTGTAAATAGAAGGAAACGTTCTATTTTCCATGTTAACAATGGATCAGACCAGAGAAAAGGAAATAAGTTAAAACTATCGAAGGAATCAGAATGCACACTTCAGTAAACCTTTTTTTAACACTTAAAGAGAAATAAGTAAAAACAAAACAAAACAAAAAAAAAAGGCTTGGGAGAGCTGTGGCACTTCTCAGGTTAGAAAAATATGTCAGGAATGGATACAAGGAGACAAGATCCTGCCTAGTGAAGGAGGCTGACTGAACTTATTGTTCCATGGTTTTAATAATGAAATCCTAATCCTCAACTAGATCTTTGGACTAAACAGAAACTCCTAGTATCTTTTTTCCAAGCATCTACAAAAGGCCGATGTCAGATCTATCCACAGGGCATGCAGAGAAACAAAACTCCATGTTCTCATTTCTGTTTTGTTATGGCACCCGTTACATTCAGAAAATGGTTTCAACCACCACATTGAAGATAGAGCAAACATACAAGTTACCTAAGAGTAACTAGTACCAGAGATACCAGCTGCTCTGTGCAGTAACGTGAGTACATTCATTGGCCCTCAGCAAAAGCAGTTCAAAAGCACTATCATTGTGAAATACCTGACATCATCTGTGTTCTCAACTTCTTCCATGCTATCTTTTTCATCTTTTCATCTTGGTTCCTTGTAATTAAAGATATATATGTGTCTGTGTCTCTGTGTGTGTAAGTGTATATGAATTCATAAATATATCTATAAAATATGTAAAATGTGTGCAAGCAAACTCTGCATGCCCACAGTCTAAATTAAATGGAAAATGTATCCTTTCAATGCACAACACATTTGACACAATTCCTTCTAATTACAGACTTCTACCCTTGTGTCAAAATGATGAGCCTATTTAATGACAAGAATATTCAATACACTTACCTCCTCCAGGGGATACATCCCTCTCAAATATACATAACTTGTACCCAAAGTTTTCTTCTAATATCATGGGTAATATCTTCAAGGCAAATTCTCTCTCCTCTTCAATTGGAGAAGCACAGTCTTTCAGGTAAGACACAAATGCATCATATTCTTTTCCATCTAAAAACAAATCAACAATTGTTGTCTTGTTAGCAACCATCAGAAATCCAGTGTCTGATCCATCATTCTGGTTTTCAAAATTATTGTCTCAGTAGCAAAGCATCTAGACACTCCTGTTCTTTCTTTTGATACCCCGAACAGTCTTCAAACACTCTACATCAGATTTAAAAGAAGTCCTGAATCAATTTAAATTTCATACAAAAGATTCTGATTGCATTTGGCAAATACTTGAAAATAACATCTCCTTTCCACAGCAGTGTTCTGAAATAAAATTCAATTAATTTAACCAGTTAAAGCCATATCTGTGATGATGAAGAAATGAAGGGAAGCAAAAAATGTATCTGTAACCTGATAAAATTGTTATTTAAGAGATATTGCGGATTTCCACATTTATTTTACTTTTTGTCTGAGAATATCAAATAATTCTGTAGAATGGGTACTAGCAAAATAAAATCAATCAGTTACTCTTATAACTCAAAGTCATAACTAAAAGTTACAGGAGTATACTACGTCTGGTCATGCTTTGGGCACTAATTTACAAACACAAAATCAAAGACCAATTCAGAGGGCAAGTCTACCACACTGAGCAACCATGAACCTTTCTGCAGATCAACTATCTGGATCGATACAGTGGCACACATGGCTTTGCATCTTAAATTGTATTTCTTTGCTTCCCTTTCTGAATGCCTTACTGCATGCAGTTCATAAGAGAGAGCACAAAGTAAAGCCAGTGAAACCCTACAACTGCAAGAGCTCTAGGAATAGGAAATCCATTGCCTATTATCCAACAGGCAGCTCCTCCAGGGCAGCCTAGTCCAGGTTCTCAGAGATCCTCCTTGTAAGCCAGAGGACGCAGTGACAGCTAACATCAACAAACAGATAAGTAACACCAGCAGGCATAAATGATATCCACCCATCCATTACTGACAAATCTCAAGCATTAGAGACCAAGGAAGATTAGGAAAATCAGGTCCATACATACAGCAAGTTTTTTCACCACAATTTTCAGAAAAATTATTCCCAAAATTGGGTAACTGCTTGCTGTGAAGACCACAGTGATGCTGCCTGGTAAGATCCTGCTCTCCTTTAAGTGCATGTAATGACAAACCCATAAACATTGCAATGGCCTCTGCAAGTCAAGGAAGCATTTTAACCTTCACCTCACTGAAGGGCATCAGTGAGGAGAAAACAATTTTCTGTCAGTCTGCCTGGCTGACAACTCCAGAGTGCTCATCCTCTTCACACATAGATAACTGCAAACTTCTCCACCTTTATATACTTTTGCGATGAAGAATATGGCAGAACAGAGCTCATCTGAACAGCATCTAACCATGTCCCTCCCACTACCTGCTCCAGAGGCAGCTTTTTCACTGTTTATCTGCTGTTATTGCCACAGCTGTATAACAAACACACTTTAGCATCTGACCATCAAGTTCTCTTTTACATATTCTTTGCCGTTTCTACTCACAAAACTCCTGGATTTAAGATTAATTTTTTGTCTTCCTCAAAGATGATTGTTTTATAAAGCCTACCAGAAACTATTTTTCAATCAATACACTTATTTCAATGTCAACATTAACAAGGTCATACCTCCAGCAGTGTCATCTCTTCTGCATATATTCCTGTAAAATAGAACTAAGTCAACCCTAAAAATCACACAAACAAACACTGCAGCTATAGCAACAAATGGAAATAATACAGCGAGGACCATTCCAGTTGTAAATACATGCACAGGCAGATCTTGGGTGTTCCCTGTAAAACAGAAACCCATGAAATTACAGCCTTATCAAAGAGTATTATGTGACAAAATTACTGTATCCAATACTGACGGCACCTTAAAATCACCTCAAAAAATTACAGTGTTGATGAGAATCCTTTCCTGCTAATAATTCAAGCACATACACATGCCACTTGTCCTGAAATGGAGAACTACAGAAATACTCTGAAAACTGGAGAAACAGTCTTGCATGCGTTCACACACATAGATGAAGTGTGTGTGAGATCAAGACTGACACTACAAATCCTCACAGATGTACAGTATACCAAACTGGTGGTCACTCACTTTTGTGATGAGTTTTCTCCAGGTTCTTTACTATGTCCTATTATTATCTACTTTTCACCCCCTCTCAGTCTATGCATAATAGTCCCTTATGCCCCCTTTAATCTCTTTGGCCGATTTTTTTTTCTTGTCTCTAATCTCTTTCAGGCTTTTCTTTTTCTTAATTATTTTTATTATGTTATCTTTGGGGTTTTTTTAGTTTCAAACATAGAATTTTAACACTTAACTTTGTGAAGTTTTGATGAAGGCACTGTTGAGTCATGCTCATTGTAGTCTGTACTACTTCTGCTTTATTATATGCATCATCTTTTGACAAGTTTATTGTCACATGTTTTCCTTCCAGTAAAACTTGGAAAGGCCTGATAGAGATAGAAAACAAGAAGAGAATGCCCATTTGTGATGAAACTCCAGGTCATCTGGACTATAAATGTGAAGTCCTACTATATGGTAGAGGTTAGCTTTCCATAGCTAGAAGTATAGAATTCCTGACAAGACAGAAACCATTGACCAGAATGTTTCAGGCATTATCAGCAACATAAAAGACTGACTTTTCCGAGGGCAGGAGGGTCGGGGGCAGGGGGGAAGGGGGAACACCAAAAAACCCAACAAAAACCAACACACACAAAAACCCAACAAAAACCTCACATTTTAATTTTAAGAAGGGATACTTAATAAACAAAGTGTTCCAAACAGAAGACTGAGGGCTGCACCAAGTTTGGGTATTTAATTCCTGTGATCTCACCAATCTGATGAGTAGGAAAGTACAGGGGAATGTTTTTTCATGGGATCTTAACAACATGCTGCCCAGGGATCTGTCCCCAGCTGTGTCCACAGCAGCAGCAGTTAGACTATGGAGCCCAGACACAGCTGCTCTAGCAACTCCTTCTGCCCGTTTCAGAGCAGGAGGAATCACCCAGGGTGTTGTTAGGTCCAGTACTAGATGGACCAGGGACTTCATAAGCAGACAGACATATTTGAAGAGATGTTCTGAAATGAGTACCCTGCCCTCAGGATTGAGAAGGCTGCCATGATTAATAATTAAGTATGAGAAGAATGATCATGTCATACCTTTCTTCAGTTTTACTATTTTTATTTGTGTGCTTTCATCAGCTTGCAACATGCAGGTGAAATTATGATGCATGTCCTCATCTGTTACTTTTTTAATCCGTAGTAGCCTTGTGACATAAAACTTGTTTCCCAACCTGCAAGGAGGAATGGTGTTAGCAACACTATCTGTACAGAAATCTACAACCACCGGAGAGGCAGATTTAGAGGAAAGGGTTCTAAAAAAACCCCTCAGGCTGCAATTTTACTGAATTTGCAGTTGTACAAAGTGCAGGACATTATCCCATATAAAGTACAGCATTTTCAGGAAACCTACTGTAATTTTTTGAACTCTTCTTCACATATTGAAGGTTCATTCTCAGGGATACCTGTGCATTGTTCTGGAAACGTTTGATTAATTAACCAGTAGAGGCTGGCATCTTCTTGCATATAATAACCCAAGAAACCTGTGCAATTGAGTATCTCTTCTTTACCTAAAAAAAAAGTATAACATGAGAAGATCTAGTAAGAAGTAGTATTCATGTTCACAGTGCAGTAAAATGTCAGCTTTCCAGCCAACATATCCCATGAGCTGTGCTCTCTTCTGGATTTCATAGCCCCTGTTCAATGTTTTGTAAGTGTTCTGCTGCACCCTGTTGCAGAGTGACAGTCATCCATTCCTTTCTCTCAGATAAATTATCACAGCCAACCGAGTTTAAATATGCCAGAGTATTTCAGGCTTTAGAGAACTAATGGGAGTTGGACTTGGAGGGAGATATTCTAAGATTCTATGAACTACACTGTGTTTTGCAAGCAGAGAACAGGAGAGGACAACATATCACTAGTGCTCCAGGGCCAGGTAAAAGTAACTGGTAAGGGGAATTACAACCAATTGATTGTCATAAATAAACTACATATGACTACTCAATAAAGCCAAAGCCCCTGCTGAACTGTCACAGAACAAGTTCCCATCCCACACCTGGAATTCCTGAATATGTGAACAAGTCATTTACTCAGTCAGTTACTTGCCCCATTTAAAAGCACTAACTGGAAGTGACAGCAACCATTCCATAAAGTTCAGTTATTTTTAAGAAAGTTCAAAACCAAAAGGACAACTGTACACTTGGAAAAATAAAGGCAGAAGACTGCAGCTCTGGAGTGTGAGATTTTTTAAACACTGTCGTGGGAAGCTTGACCTGAAGTTAGCTGCAACTTTGTACCACTATTTCTAGGCTATGCCAGCATCATTTCCAGAGAACACATCCAGAATGCCCTTTATTAAGCCATAAAAAGTGCATGTTAGTCCTTGTTCAGGCCATATACACAAATGCTTTCCAGTAAGAGAGGCCTGCCCAGCAATTCTCCAAAGGCACTTACAAGCTGACCTCTCAAGACTTATCAGAGTGGATAGTTACAGAATCTTCAAAGTAGGATCCAGATGAAAATCTGGCCATCTTAGATTCAGACCTTAGAAATCCAAATCACATTTGCACAGACTGAAACACAGACCTAACCTTCTAGTATCCTCTACCTTGCAACCCCAGCTTTTCCAGCTATTTTTGGGGAGATTATAGAACACCATCTAGACAATGACAAGTTTTAAACATCATGGACCTAGCTCATTGAAAATTCCCTCCACTCTCCACCATGCCATCTGTCTCATGACTCAGCAGGTAGTTCAATGACCTTATGAAATGATCTTATCAAGGCAGATAAGGGATGGTAGTTCATAATCAATTGATGCTGAACCCTGCTAACTTCTAAGGGTTGGGACAAGCACAGTAATGAGGAAAAAATGTGCCAGAAGCGTGTACTGGGAGGTTGGAAGTCATTAGGCATCATAGGATTGGGGTACTACCATTGGAAAAAGGACCTATCAAGCAACATTTGTAAGAAGGAAGGAAAATTAGCATCTGAGGTCCTAGATGAGCAAATGAGATACAGGTATGAGCCACAGAGGAGGTAACACATGGAAAGGAAGGATTAGGTAACCAGATGGGAGAAGCCCTCAGGCACAGGAGAGGAAAAAGACAGGTAAACTTATGTTTTCTAAAATTAATTACAGCCTCAAACACAAAATCTTGTATCCTGTCCAAGATTGTGTGAAGCCTGCAGATCATGTTATCTAACCTACTCCCAGCTAGAAGAACAGATAAGGTCTCTTGACAAATTCTCTGAAGCAGTGACAGATCTTCATGCCCACATTACCAGGACTGTCACTTCCTCACACTTCTCATTTCCCTGAAGAATAACATCCTCAACTGCGTCAGGTAGCAAGGAGATTTCTCATTATTGCTGTTCACTGAAAAAACTATACACCTTTTACACATTGCTTCACAGGGTTTGCTGTCTACAACAGAAAGCCATGGAGAGATGGTTTATCACCACCGCCACTTTCTCTTGCTGGTCACAGCAGCAACCTCAGCTTCTGCCTCTGTAGAAGGTACATTTAGTGTACTGGTATATCAACCATGGAATACACTAGGCAAAACATAACCAGGTGTGAAGTTAGATGAGATACAAGAGGGTGCACAGACAATTCTTAGTTGATTACACTTAACCAGACCATCAACCATAAAGAGATCAGAACAAAAGCATATACGTGCAGTAGCTACCACAAAGATTTTTGTACTAATTTCATACCTATTTCTGTTTCAATTTCTTCATGGTGTCCAATTATCTCCAAAGTTACAGCCTCTGGTGCATCTAAAATAGAAACATTGCTATTGAAGTAATAGCTCACATACATTGTTCCATAGTACAAATTACGTACTTCCTCTATTTCTAAAACTAATAGCATACATTCCATTTAATTCAAAGAACAATATCTGGACTCTGGTGTTACTAAGTAGTTTAAAACACAGTATGACTTGTTGAATTTTTTTACATACATATATGTACAGTGCACAATTTAAAATGGTTGGAAAGGCTCTTCTGCAAAACTCTTAGTAAGTTTGTATGACTTACAGCAGCTATTTTGAAAAAAAAAAAAAAAACTGCAGGAAAAACATACCAAATACATCTTCCAAAATAGGTAATATGTCATCTTAACTTCTGCTTTTTTACTTTTCAAATTATTGTGAAATAGTTCAGATTACCAGATTTGTTCCCCCTTGTATATATTTATCAAATGAGAACTGCAATTAAAAATCTTCATTGTAAAGTGAACCAGAAAGCATGCTTCCAAATTTTAGAAAGCTTTCTTACCTTCTTCTACTATCAGTTTAATTGTGTTTGTGCTGTGGTATATCTTTCCTTCGTGACTGATTATAATTTTACACGTATATATCCCAGAGTGCTGTGCTGTTAAGGTTCTAAAATGCAGTTCCCTCTCTGTTTCATGTTCATAATTCTTACAGTCCTGCATCAATAAAACCAGAAAACACTATTCTGTAGCACATATGCATTCAAAACCTTAAAGAAATTAAAAATTGTTTTTGAAAGTGTCACCATCATTCTTTTCACTATCTCAATGACATGTGTCTGACCCAAAAGAGGTGGAGGCCAAATTTTCACTCATGGTCACTTAAATGAAACTTTTGACCATTTAACCCATTAGAAGCTGAGAGCACTGCAATTTCAAGTAAGCGTCTGAGTATAAAAATACTGTATTGGGAACTCAAAAGCACTCTTTTTTTTTTTTTTTCCCAAAATTATGGCTTGGGTCTGTAGGTGTCATCTGCCTGTGCCTCAAAGCTGTCTAGGTTATGAGGAGGTTTCAGGTTAAAACAAAACACCTCAACAACAGGGAAAGTAACCATCTCAGAGGGTAACAAGAATTGGACTCACATGTGTTTACTCTCCCTATTCCTGAAAAAAACTCTAGTTTGTGGGTGTTTTTTAATTCACAGCACATGCTAAGTGAAACGTCCTGTGAAAAGGCAGCAGTATCTGGTTCTGGTCTGAATTACCTTAGATCAAAAGGGAAATGAGCACTGATAGAAATTGTCCAAGGAATGGGTTTTTCTGGATGCATGTTTACTAGCAGGCTCTTGCTCAAAAGGCATGTGTGACCACCCCGGTTTTATCTCACCTTAGGGAGCAATAGGAAGACTTTGAAAATTTTCACCCAAGCAAGTGCTAAAGGATATTTAGGTGCAAGGATGGCTGTTTCACCTGTCTCACATAGTAGCACTGGTATGCTCAGTTTAGCCATGAGAGAGGCCAGTCTGGGGTATGGTCCTTTATTGAGGAAAGCATTACAACCTGTGGCCCTATCCATCAATGGTCCCATCCTCCCAGGCCCCAAAGAACAAGAAAATAGCTTGTTATTATAGGGCCATAACTCTTTCTTGCCAGGCTACTCCAGATGCCCATACTTAAGCAGTCAAAATCCCTTCCTGAAACTGATTTCACGTGCAGCGAACAGGGTCTGTTACTCCAACCAGGAGACCTGAGAGGAATAAGGAGCAAAGCTCAAGGTGACACAACAGGGTGGAAGAAGCCTGTTCAGGGTGCCTCATCCAGTGGTTGAGCACAACACCCAACAGTTACAGATGCTTACACTATTATCAGCTATGCTCTGGCAAAAGCTGGTAGAGAGAATACAGATGATTCGCCTAAAATGAACAGAACTGGATCTGTCACACACTTATAAAAAGTGTTCAGAAGCAGCAAAAGTAAAAAGTTTAAAGTTACTCTACAAGCACATGCCACCTGTAAAACTAATATCTTGATACCTCATTAAGCATCAGAATATCTGTATCAGCAAAGTAGCAGCTGGCTAAACCAGCTGTCTAAATCAGCAAACAGACATACACATCAGATCTTTTACCATTACAAACTACCAGTTTAATAACTTCTGAAAAAAGTACACTTTTCTAATAAATCTGAGAGCAGAGAAAAACTTCATTTCGTATATCTGTCTGAAGTTTTTTCCCTAATCATCCGAGAAATTAAACCCTTACAGTGTTTGTAGATGCTTCTAAAAATTTGCTTGCAATTAATTTTTTCTGCAATCAGATATTTTGTTTCTATAGCCAATTATTTGAGTGAAACTGTTTCAGTAATTACCTTGTACCATGTTATGCTGTCATTTTCATTGACAGACAAATCACTGCATTTCAGTGAATGACCAGTTCCAGCATTTTTTATTTCCGTAGTTAAATGATTCTTGTTGAAACAGCTGCTTTCATTTCTTTCAAGTATATTCAAGGTCCACTTTTGAATTATAAAATTTTGTTTTCCATTGCTATGAAAAAAAAATTAGCAAAATCAGTTTTAGGAGCTTTTTAAAAGAATGCAGCCTAGTGAGTTACACACAAAATACAAAATAAATTCTCTAACACGCCTGTTAGGTAAAAAGTACATCTACAGCGACCTAATTATTTATATTCACCTTTATTACTTTTCCACCCCCAAGTAAGTGTTACTTCCTTTAACAAACAGGTTACCTAAACTAAATCAACTATCACAAAACATTTGACAATACAATTATATCTATGGAATATGGCAATATGTGCTACATCAACCCAAACAAGAATGCAACAATCTGTGGCGTCATGTATAGTTACAGAAGAGCATAAAAGAATTTCAGGACCTTGAATCAGCTAAATATTTTGCAGGTATAATCTCCTATGTGTTGCTAAGGTTTAAAGTAGTAACTGAAAAATATACTTGTAAAACATAACAAAAATGAGATAGGCAACTCTACTGTTGTTCACAAAGCAACATTATTCATTGTTTGATACTCTGCAGATAGTCACTGGTATTTTGGAAATACTCCCGAACTCCGCAAGTCTCCTGAATTACAGCATCATTTATGGATTCAAGCCTGTCTGCTGAAGAAGACATTTTGGAAAGCATGCATCTCTTTGTCTTTGAGTCCTGCACTGATAAAAGATCTACAGTAGCTCACCATCCCAGGCTGACTGGAAGAGTCAGGAACTACCACTTCTACAGCAGAGTCGTAACATCCCATGCAGTATCTATAAAAGATCACATGAATATGCTCCAAAAACACCTATTTTGAATATCTAGGAGCTGATCAGATATCTACTAAGTTCTATTCACATATTCCTTGAAAGAATCATATTATAGCCATGAGTTATTTCACTGTTGGATATGTCCAAATACATGACTACCAAGGGAAAGGAACCTGGAGGACTTTTGACTTAAATTTGGCAAAGTTAGAGCTTACGAGAAAGCCATATGTTGCTGTCAGTTAGTGGGTGAGATTCTGTCAGTTAGCAGGGGAGATTTCACAACTAGTGCATAGAGCTCTCATTTGTTTACTGAACAAACAGGGCCTGACAAAGCAAAAGCAGCAATCACAGAGCACTTCCCTCCAACGTCAGTCATATCTTCATAAATATGTTTGAATCCTTCTGCCTCCAAGAAAAGAAAAATAAATTGCTCCCAGAGCTACAACTAGTCCAGAATCATTTCAATGAGAAGGGCCAAGAAGATAAAGTAGTTGGAAAGGAGAAGCATCCCCAGCGAGTATACCAGCTTAAACACCATTCTTGACTGACATGCCTTTTGACTGTACAAGATTCAGAAGAACTATTAGGACATCATTTATATGATGAATTTAGACCAAGTCTTGCGTTGTTTCTTTTCCACTTCTTAAGCTTGCCAAACAAATGTATTTATGTATTCTGCTCACCCTCTACGCTTTATAGCTCCTTCTCAGCCTACACAGGTTCTCCTTGTTCTCTTTACTCACTTGAGATATTCATTACTCATAATTGCAATTGACTCTCTAAACCAAAACAGTGGTTTGGTTTCTCAATCAACTACAGTTAGCTGACTACGCTGTCATAAACAGGAAAAGCCTTACCAAAACTTTTCCATCAGAGATGTGCTTGTGAGGGTATTCACGATGGGTGGGGTCCTCACCTATTCTTCAACATCATATTTACACATTTAAATCAGAGCTACTGATCACAGTCAGCAATGGGACCACAGTCAGCAGTCATCCTTTTACAGTGCAGTTTATATGATCTATTTTATATATTCTGTTTAGGACAGAAAGGCCTCTCTCTCCCTGACAGTAAAGGTACCTAAGATAAACTTAGGTGTAGACATAAACATTAATTCCAATTAATTCCACTTAGTTTGTGTGTTTCTTTAGGTATCACATTACTAATCTGAATACCGCTGGAGAGGCAAGTACAGACCTAGCCATGAAATATATACAATTTTACTATCTAGATTCAGTAGATGGAAGAAAAGGGTCAATAAAGCCACATGTTCTCCTCAGCACTGTCACTCCACAGAGGCTTTCTTCTGTGATCCAATTTGGTGAAATCACTTCAATCATTTCATGAGGATTTCACTCGAACTGGATCAAGATATTCTACCTGCTGAGCCAAAATCTGGCTAGGAGCAGCTCCTTAGAAGGTGTCAAAACCATACCTATGCAAATAAAGATAAATTTGTCTTATGAAATTTGGTTTTCAATCAAAAAAAAGATGCATTTACTTGTATTGTTTAAACTGCTACTGTCAGAATTGTTATATTCTCTCCTGGTTTTTACTTGCTGAGATCCTTTGGTGATTCTTTGTGGGGAACAAAACAATTTCTGGCTTTTCAATTCCCCCCCACCAAACCCACCAAGAAAGAACAACAAAATCTATCATCTTGACTCAGGAGATGATACAGGGAAGTGAAACCCCTTAGAGAATATGAACCAAGTTTACTGGATACATAGACAATTCTAGGTAATTCTTCAGCTGTTTCACTGCAACAAGCCAGTGTTATCTTCAGTATTTCAGTCTACCTCAGAAACGGTCACTGTACCTTCCAAATTGCAATATTGTATGTTCCCACTGCTTTTAACTGTTCCAAACTTATTTAAAAAGTGAGCAATACCACTTATTTAAAAAGTGAGGATTTTAAGATTTATCGTGTTTATCACAGATCTCTGTACGTTCGGGGTTTTATCAGGAACGTGTAAGTTTTCTCAGTTTCAAGGTCACCAACACCTGCTGACCTGCTTTTTTGTATTCTGTTTTTCTCTTTGATAACCACAGGATACAGGCTACAAAAAGCCACACAAATTAGAAATCCTCCCAAAGATCTGTGACACAGTTTTTCTGCTTACCACTCTCACTACAAGTACATATGAAATTTTTATTTTCAAGAAATGTTGCTAAATATGGACACATTCAGACTTACAGGTGATGTCCATTAATTCCTGAATTTATATCCTAAGTCTAGTATACCAACAAACACATGTGAACACATCAACACACACATATGCACACTTCAGGTTTATCTGTAAAACTTCTCAATCTTCTTTAAGTAAAAAAAAAAAAGTGGTTAATACACTATAAAAACATTGTTACATCACTTTCATTTCTTGCTTCTTGCGTATTGTCAGTTGTAACATATCAGGGAAAAAAAATCCCTACGTTTAATTAGTTTTCAAAATCTGTCAATGCGTCTCCTTTTCTTGAAAATCTGCAGTATATGTAATTGTCACACTGTTCACTGAAACTGCCTACACAGTTATAAGTACTCCCATATAGCTTACAAATATCTATCTCTAAATTAAATTGCTGAAAAAAAAGAAGATAAATAAAAATATAATTTGAATACCTGCTTTCAAAAGCAAAACTTTTAACTCCACTATGATTGTAATTCTTATTAAAGCTTAAATCACTTCAGTAGTTCACAATAGCCCACAATTTTTCCCTATAAATAGAGACCACTAAAAGTCCTCTGTCTCTGCAGAAAACAGTTTCTGCAATAATCTTTTGTATTTGCTGAAATGTAACTCATTTAATATGCCTGCCATTAGTGAGAATCATCAAATAAACTAAGCCCAATATCCCATTACAATCCTATGAAAAAAATCCCCTTATGTCTATTGTTCCAGCAGTGAGACCTGTGAAGAGTTCCCATAGGAGGACTGCAAGATTCTGGCATGTGCCTTCATTCTGATGCTAACAGAAAAATCTTTAGCAACAGCAAATTTTTAGATTTGATAGTTTTCTGTGAAGTGAACATACAGACAACCGATAAAGGCCATAAATAAAGCCACAATTTAAACCCCAATTCGGCCTTGACATGTCAAGTACAGTTCCATGACAGCAGACCAGCCTGTGTCAGGTATCGTTGAATAGTAATGCCTACAGACCAAAACTGAGCAGCACACTTCAGCTGTGCTGCTTCAGACGAATGTCTGTACTGAATAATACAACACCTTTACACAAAATTGCACAACAAAATAGACAAACTACCATACTCATCATCCCTAAAGATAATTCTCTTAAGATTGATTTCGGCATATATTAATAACATTTTTCTCAAGCTTTACCCTACAATTAACAATATTTAACATTTCGTAGACCACGACTTTGTACTGTTAAAAATAATATCACTAAGATGATAATAATTATGATACCTGGCAAAATAAAACATAAAATTTTCAGCTTCCAAGTTAACATGGAAGTTAACAATTGAAGTCTAGCTTAGAACAGTAAATTATCAAACTTGAGTCTGCGATGTTACTGGAAAAATGTGAATAGCATTTTTCAGTATCTGTAGTCCCATACCCTTTATGAACCAGGCAAGAATCTTAGAAATATTTCTTGAAGGACAGCACAAATCATGAAAAGTAGTCTGCTTCAAATTAATCATTGCTTCAGTTGTAAATGCTGAATGACAGTTTTATTTTAAGTTAGTCACAAGAACTCCATGCAGCAATTAGTTCCCTAGTCTTTCAAGATGTTCCAGTGAAGATTACCACCAAATAATGGAGGCCTCCCTATTTCTCTTTTTGACTCATGATGTTATACAGAGGTAAGAAATCAAATCCAGTTGTTTCATTTGTTCTTTGAATGGCTCCAAGCATGTAAAGGTTTGCACAGAAACCAGAGTTCAGCTATGCCACTCTTTACTATACAGATAGATGACTTGGCAGGCCTCATAGTGTGAGATCCATCCAACACTGCAAACAAGAACAAGTCTGGGGAAGAAGACAAGCAAATGTTTCCTTTCACTTGGCAGTGGACAGAAGGGTTGCCTATCACTCATTTTGTTTAAGTAATTAATCACAAGCCAGAAGAAATGCTACCTGCCTTATCAAAAGGTTTACAGAACCTTTAAAAGGCTGCAATTGCTTCTAGATATTTGTAAGTATAATAGGTTCACCTTGATGGTTATAGTGAAATGAAATAGAAAATGACACAACACTCAATGCAGTTCCCTGCACCTTTGTATGGATTATACAAAGGAAGACAGAGAAATTACCTTCATCACAGACATGTGCAAAGGCAAGATGTTCACCCACTGGGTTGTGTACCTACCTGTGAGTGACAGAGTAATTCCCAGAGTCACTGAGTTCAACTGGCCAAAACTCCAGAAAATTCATTTGTGAAACAATTCTCCGTGTTTCCTTTATCAATTGTCGTTTTCCAGCATTTTCTCTGTACCAGTTTATTGTGTATGCTTCTTCCTGAAAATGCTCTTGCCTTGACTCAGGATAACAAAGGAAAAAGAATTCCCCTTCTAGCACATCAATGGAGGCACGAAGGGGACACAGCCTCTCTTCAGAGAAAGGGGAAAAAAGATACATTAGGAAGCCAAGTACTTCTTTCAGAAAATTATGTTAGCCTGACTTTAAAGTGATTTGCTGTGCTCTGGTCTTTTGTAAGGTGACTTGATTTCAGCAAAGTGGTTTGGCAGCATTTGTTTATTCCAGAAATACTTACAGAAAAACAGTTTTCCAAGCCTTTATTCTACCTTACACAAGCAAAACCAGAAAGAAGAGCGGGGTGAAATAAAAAAGGACATGTCCCTATCCCTATAATTCTTTCATGTCAGTTCCACAGTGTCAGAATCAAACTGGCACAAAGGGCAGAATCTGGCCTCACTCTACAGTAAAGCAGTTGCCACAAATGGAAGGGGAAAGGAGAAATTCTTCACATATGGTTTGATTTGACAAATATAGCTGAGATAAAAAGCACAGATCCTATGAATTAACATTTGCATTTTCTTATCTTCTTAATTAAAACTATGTAGACTATCTACATTATGTAGATTTCTGAAAAAACTTCAGATATCTTTGGGAAAGTTTTCTTCAAATGAGATTATATATGTAAAATTTAGTCTTGAAGTGTGCCTTTCCAAACAAATTTCCCAAATTTACTTTTTCATACAGAAGTCATAAAAATACAGAAAAGGAACCATGGTCTAGAGTTAACAGTAAAAAAATTCTATTTCTCAGAGATTATTGTTGTTTAGCAACTATTGTGACCGCACTTCTGAATGGCACAAAAAGAAGCAGACTCATTTTCTTGCTTGCTGTGGCTCTTCATACAGTTATGGTCATATACAACATCCATCAAGTGTCTCCAGGTAGCATCCTTGATCTTTTTATTTCCTAAGCCTGGAGCTGGGCTGAAATTTCCAAATCTTTAAGTTTTTGCTCTTAGCTACAAAATACAAAACTTGCCCTATTCCAAGCAACTGTCAGGAAGATGGCACATATTTTGAAGGTTCTATTACTGAATTAAAGACTTTTACTTACCAGAAGCAGATCCTATGATAAACATTAAAAAAAAAATCACCAGAGTCATTTTCTTGAGTTACTTCTCACTTCTTCTCCAGAAAAATGAAACTGAATTGTTCTTGCTTGTTCAGAAAGCCTAAGAAAAACAGATTCACCATTCATCACAAGTGCAGTGAAACAGATTCCTCTGAGCATGTGAGCAGTGTGACTATTGCTTGGTGCTGAAGAGGGCTTTCCAAATGGGAAGTTATATATTTTTACCATAAGGCCTATTTTCATATATCAGGTAATGTATCTAGATTTTTCTTAACAAGTTTATTTTAAATTCATAAAGCATTGTAGGGTTTCCTTCTTCCATTTTCTTGTTCAACAGATGCATTTTACAATCTTACGGAAGCACTCAAATTCCAAACTAGTAGATACCTACCACAGGATAGGACAGTGCTTTTTTAGCTCCACAAAGATTATAAACTTTGCAAGACTGGACCTTGTAGAAACAGCTAGTAGAAACTTCACTTGCCTTCAGTGAGAACAGCACAATGTTTTAGATGGGGTATGCTGATGGTTAATTTTGAGCCTGTTGGAAAACAACGAGACATATAATTTTTTCTTCGAATTTTGTCTGTGGAAGGAATAAGCACCAGCTGACAGCACTAACATTTCCACTGAGTGGGAGGACATGAAGCAACTCGTATTCAACTGCTTCATGTGTAGCCACTTGTGATTTCAAAGGCAAATGGAAAATACGAATAAATAAGACCAGCATGGAGTATCTTCTCTGAGGTTCCTCAGAACATCAGGTTAACTGACAACCAAAGACAGTCCTAAAACTGTGCTTCAGTTTTGTTTATAAAAACAGAAAGATTAGATGCATGATCAGCTCAGTTCAGCTCCTGAAGCCAAGACAGATAACCATGCTTAGTCTCACCCAAACATGCCTGAACAAATGAGACACACAGACACAGCCGAGATGTATTTTAAAGATCTGCCAAAAGAAATCTCATTAGCAATCCATTTCTTTGGTTTTAATAAGGAAACCTGTAGCGATTTAAGAAAGCACACACTGTTGTAACACACTGCCCTGCGATTTACAGTCAGAAACTTCCTGTGAACTAAAGAGGCTGGAGGTAGGAGGCTACTGCATTTCCAGTAGTATTCCAGAATGACATTGACCTGTGTAGCTGCTCTCCCTCTGAGTCTTTCTCCTCAGTTTTTCACAACTGTGCCATCATCCCATAAAGCACTGTAAGGAGATGAAGGAAGTGTTTCACATCTCTTTTTTCAGACAGACTGGTAGGCAGAAACAGATTTAGAAAGCTAGAAGAAGTTGGATTCTGAGCACTATGACAAGCAACTTTAAAGGGTCATACCATAAACTTGCCAGGCCTGGTTTCAGTTCCCTACCACACAGATTATCAAGCTCTTACACTTCACAAGGAAAGAAGCGACTCTCTCTTTATTTTTATTTCTTGAATTTACCTTCCTTTTCCACCCTATCACATCCAGAAGAAACACAGCTGTTAGAGATCATAAAACTACAGTCCACTACATAAAGATAAAATATTTTTATTTTTAAATCCAATTCTTTTTTGGTATATCACATCAGCTCACAGAGGAAGTTTTGCTGAATGCACACAGTATAATACAAGCTACTTAGTAATAACCAGGTTTGATATTCCTGACTACTCTTAAAAGCAAAACACAGAACATTAGTCTTACTCTCCCACTGCTCTTGAAACTGTTCAATCTGTCTGAAATTGTTCTACTGTAGGCTAAAAGTATTTACATTTGAGCCATACAGTTTGCAGTACTTTTCAATAAAAAGCTGGGGGGGGAGAGGAAAGAGAGGAAAAAAAGATAAATGTTTTTGGTGAAAGTCAGCTAATATAAAGAGAATCTTTAGAGGAACGGAATAAGATTTTTTAATTTTCAGAAAAAATGGAGAGTTATTCTAAAGTAAGATAAAGATTCTATGCCTAATAAAGGAGTAAAGAAAATACTCAAAATGCTAAGGCAATAATAGGGAATTACAGTTTCAATGTAAATTTATTCAATCACCAATTATCTATAAGGCTCAAAGTGACAATAGCTTTAAGCTTGTTTTTCGAATTTTATACATGTTAAAAAACACTGATGGAGTTATAATAATAAAAATAGTTCTTAAAAATATTTTTGCCATTGTGAAGCCAACAAAAACTTTAAACAAAATTAAGGTTTAAGTTCTGTAACATACATTAATGATATCTCATTAACTAGACAATTCTGTGCCTTTAAGCACCATTACAGTTATTCCTCAATTTTACAGAATCGCCAGAAGATTTTGGAATAAAAGGGTGATGATACATTGAAGTGGTTGATCCTCAATTTTGGTCAAGTAACTCATTTTGGTTAACACTTTTGGAAAACTCAGTTCGGTCCCAAAGGGTTGTGACTTCATTTGTCTAAAAAAACAACAGATAGACTGTTCGAACGATCATTTTGGGGTCAAGGGAGAAAAGCACTAATATGCCCTCTGTCAGAATGGCTCCTTGTGGAATCTAAGTATTTTTTAAAATATCACCAGATAGTGCCATAATTTGCATAGCATTCATGAAGAAAACAAAAGTATTTAACAAACAGTTGTCTTAACCACACCAGGTCCAGGCACCATTCTGCCAGGATTGCAACTTCTTGGTAAAAATGAAAATCCATCTTAATTTCAAAGAACATAAGTGAAGTTGTTTACTTACAATGCAAGTCTTGCCAGGTGGAAAGTCGCTGCAGAGGTAGTTCTCCAAACTCCACAGAGCTGCAGCTTGTACTTATAACTCTTCTGAACCTCATTCATCACTGAAACAGACTGCAGTCCCTCTCAGCGAGTCAATATACAGACAGCTCAATCTGAAAAACCTCCTGAAAAAGAAGAGTGGACTTTCTCACTTCATGAACACTTGACTGCAGGAAGGAAAACCGAAAAGGTAGATGTGAGAAACTCATTTTTACTAGCAATAATGGAATAGTAATAGCAAGTCTCTAATATTAATATTTATTCTAAATGAGGCATTTGAGTGCTCATACACAAATGTTTTAGGCACAATCTTTTGCTCCCACCGCCTACTCCACCACTGACGGAGCCCATCCTCCTCCAAAGCCACCCGGGTGCGAAGGAAAGGGCTGCAGACAGCTCAGAGATGGCGACTTGGCAGTGCCAGTGATGGGCCGTGTGTTGAAATAAGCCACTTTCAAGGTTAAATTATTTACGACAGCTCAGTAATAACGAAAAGTATATCATGGTCCCGAAGAAAGGTGTCCCAGCCGAGTGCCTTGGGGGTGCGCGGCGCAGTGTCGCAGACAAGGGAAGGGCCGCAGGGTCGGGTACAGGAAGGGCGGGGGACAGGCAAGGGCCCCGGAGAAGTCCCCGAACAGCGGGTGCCGGCCCCCGCACTCCCGCAGAGATGCCCTTCGGGGCAGGCTGTCGGCTTCTCCGAGAGAGAGGAGGAAGAGCCGCCCACGCCCAACCCTCGCCTTGCCAGCCCGCCCGCCCTGCCCCGTTGCATCCCCTGCCCCGTTCTCACCCTGCCCCTCCGCGGCCGCCCCGCTTGCCCGGGGCCCTTCCTGCCGGGACGAGGTTGGCCCGACGGCGCGGCCGCCGCGTTTCTGCGCGGGGTGCGGGGGCCGCTGCTCCGGGAAGGCCGGGGGGCCTTCTTCCCCTTTTCACTGGCAGGCAGCGGGGGCCCGGTCCAGGGGCGCGTGGCCGGGCTGTCACCCGGCAGCAGCGCGAAAGCAATTGCCAGGGTTACCGAGGGTGCTGGGGGCTGTCACCCGGGGCCGGGCAGCAGCGCGAAGCAGTGCCAGGGTTACCGAGGGCGCTGGGCTGTCACCCGGCCTGGGCGAAACCCAGCGGTGCGCCCCGCGAGCAGAGGGAGAGACGATCAACTTTTTTAGGGGACGGTGGGTGGAGGGAAGGGGCCTTCGCTCTCACAACCTCCCAGGGGAAGAAAAGGCGTAAGGAGGTGATGCCTTCTGTTGTCTTCAGCCGAAACGCCTCTTCCTCCGCTTTTATGCTGAACGCCCCTTGTAGGACTCTTTTCCAAGAAATGTGGTGGAGATAGGATGGAAGCTTAGGCACGAGTATATTAGGCTAAGTATACCACCTTTTATCTCTGCTACAGCTTCCTCCCCACCTCTCTGGCTGGTTTGAGAATGAGGACGTGGAAAGAGCTAAAACTGAAATGCTGATATTCTGCAAGGACCACAAAAGAAACCCACCAAAAAAAAAAAAAAAAAAAAAAAAAAAAAAAAAAAAAAAAAAAAAAAAAAAAAAAAAAAAAAAAAAAAAAAAAAAAAAACCAAAAAATTACAAAATAGGGTCTACAGGAAAAAAAAGACAAGACAAAAGACATGATCCTACGATATTTTTATAAGAAATGTCCCCATGTTACTGCTATTTTTTTCTGCACTACCATCCCTTTCAGAGGGAGAGTAATGTAAAGTTTCAAGATATGAAACATTTTATAGCTCCATTACTGCAAAGGGAGTGTATGTATTCACTTCTAAATAAGCCCTCATGCCAGTAATTGAGCTGGCTTTTTAGCCAAATGTTGATATATTGGAACGATAGTTCCATGAGGAGTTTCTGAGTTTCTGGTGTTCCTGAGTAAATGAATGCTTGCCACTGTTAATTACACGAATAGTTTATCTGCTACTGTGCAATGATTCACTATACTTCTAAATAAAGTTACTTTGATAACAGCGGGAAAAAATCATTCCCTCAGGAATTACCCAGGACAACTGTGAATGCAGAAGTTCCCAATTGCAACAGGAGATGTCACTTTAAAGGTAAAAGAAGCAGGTTAAACTAAAAAGAAGGAAGAGATTACACACAGCTGGCTTTTTTGCATATTTTCACTGCCGAGGTGAAGCAAAGAAACCCTGAGGAGTTTGACTGTCTCACCTCATTTCTTTTCCTCATCGCAGATTGAAATAATACATATATAACAACAATCAGACCTTTAGATAATGTAAATTAGCACAGCTCTAGAAAAGTCAGCTAAGAATCTAACTCACTATAACTACTTTAAAATTTTGTACAAGATACTTTGTGGTATTTTTGGTTTTAGGACTTAGTACTTGATTTTAAAGCCTAAAGCATACCGTAAAAATTGCATTACGGTCCCAAAGCTATTTAGCACCCAACAAATAAAATGATGAAGTAAAATGTCATCAGCTTTTTACTTTCACAAACTAAGTCTTGTTAGTGACTGTTTGGAAACTTTTTTTTTTAACTCACTCTTTTGTAGCAGTATTTTCCATGAGCTGTTCTCACATTCTTTTGCTTTCATATCCCTTTGAAATACTCTCAAATTTCTGAACTTTCATCTGCACCAAAAAGTGCTGTGTTCAATTGGTCCTTTCAACTAATGTCATATCTAGCTTTGTGGTATGTGAATGTATATGAAAGGAAAATAAACTTTACACTTTTTAGTCATGAGACTAATACAGTTTAATGAAGTCATAGAAAAGTAACTTGACTAAAAATAGCTACAGCTCAAATTTTCATTTTGAAAACGCCACAACAAAAATGAAAGTTTGCACTAATATTGGAAAACAGATTTTTGTATGAAACTCTGACCACCTGACCAACCAGCTAGGGAAGACGAGTTACTTTTCACAGTTTTTCACATCTTCCTTTTCATCTAACGTACACTATGCTGAGGTACTAACTGAAAAACCTAAATTGTGAAACTATTTTCATCACATATATTGCAACACATCCAACTCTTGCAAACACAGTCTAAACCTGTTTGCTTTTAGCTGGCAATAGTCCTTTTAAATCTACTTCTTTTATCGCTATATACGAGTTATATTAATTCTTTATAGAGGCTAAGTTATATTCGATAGTGTTTTTCATCATTAGCTGTCCTTGATGTCAAAAAGCAGGTTACAGACTGATAATGTGTCTGTTAGAGCCTCATATATTTCTTAGAAATTTTAAAGTACACAAATTGAATATTTTCAAACTTTCTTCTGCATCACAGCATCACAGAATAATTCAGGTTGAAAGGGGCCTCTGGAGGTCCTTGGATCCAGCCTCTCATCAGAGCACTTACAACTGAGATCCAAACACTTAGAAGGACGGAGATTCCACAGCCTTTCTGGGCACATGTTCCGGCATTTGACCATGCATACTGTGTCATTTTTTTTCCTAATATGAAATATAAATTTCCCATGTTCTTATTAGAGCCAGTTACTTTTTTGTCCCATCTCTGTGCTCCTTTAAGAACAATCTGGCTCTATACGTTCTCTCTGTTTTTATTGGATTCTTGTAGATAGAAATAGGGCCTCTTATCCTCTCTCTGTATGACCTGTGCTCTTTGTGGTCTTTCCCTAGACTCCACTATGTCATTGTCTCACTTGTACTGGGTTTATTCCATCCCAGATGCAGCTCTTTGCACATGCCTTGGATTGAACCTTGTGAGTTTCCCATCAGGCCATTTCTTCAGCCTGTTTCTGTCCAAAACAGCAGCCCTCTGCTCCAATGCGTCAACTATCTCTCCCCAGTTTGATTTTCTGTCTGAAAATCCATTGCTTGTGCAGTCTGTCCCATTGTCGAGGTCATCAATAATGCTGCTGAACAGTATTGGTGCTGATATCAGTCCCTGAGGGATGCCACTGGTAATGTGCTGTGAGCTGAGGTTTGTATGTTGGTCCCCCGTGGACTTTGGTCCCACTATTTTTCCACTCACATTTGTAGACTTATCTGTATGTCATTAACAGAGATTGGACAAAGGACCTTGCTCAAAACAAGGTATGTAGCATCCTGTGTTCTCCCACTGTCCACAGCACAGCTGGATATGCATGATATGTTTCTAAAACAATAGCTGTAGTTTTTCAACCCCTGAAAGAGTCAGGAACATAAAGTTGTACATTCAATAGAATATACTATCAATTTTACATATCATCTTGTAAACATGCTTTGTCCAATGCTATAAGAAATTAATGTTGCATACACTACAAATAATAGCTTGCTACAAAAACTTCCAGAAACTTCTAAAAAATTTCTTCAAGTGGTCAGTCTTTTGCGCTTCACAACCATGTGAACTGGTTGTGAAGCTGTGTAGGAACATCAAATCTCAACACTTTAGGAAACCCCAAGACCAAACCATTTAATATGTTTACGCAAAGGGCTGGTGTATATTAAATGCATATGTGGTGAGGGCAGTACATTCCACATGCTGTTTGAAGTTACCCTATTTCATAGCAGCAGGAGCTGGTTTTCATACTTTGGAAATCACCAGACACTTCACCACTGACATCAGTGTGAGATAAGTCACTCCTTATTCCTGTCCCTTCTTTATTTCTTTATTGCCAGCAATTCAGTCTATACTTTTTCATATATGAAGTATCCACAGACAAAGTTTTACAACTGAGGACATACAAGTGTCTGTATGACTGTGGTTATATGGCAAAGAGACACTTCTATTCCTTTAAAATATGTTATTGTAAGAGAGTCAGCATTGTATTCTTAATGCCAGATTCTGAGCTGCTGTTTACAAGTTATGCTGCATGGGTTACAGGAGATAACAGCAGTATGCACACCCTGAAAAAATTCCCTGTGTTTAATTCTAAAGTTGATAGACTAATTTCTAGCTGGTCAGAATCTCTGAGTGCCTGTTCACCCACGAGATGGCAGGATGACTCTGTTCTACAAGAAGTTAGAGCAAATCTGCACTCTGGAGTCCCTTGAGGTGCCAAAACCAGGGAAGCATAGGTCAGAAATTAAAGGACATTAAATCTCTATGTGGACAGTATAGTTCAGCAACAAAATTGCCTCAGTTCTCTTTATTTTAAGCTTAAAACATCCAAACTGAATCATCTTTAAGCTTTGAATGTCTATTCCTATGTTATTATTTTTATGGTTATTTATTTTATGTTGAAAGCAGAGACTTTTTTTGCACAGGGCAGACTGTCATTCTGTTATTCCACAAGGGCAGACTGCTTAGTGTAAAATAGCCAATTTTAATTAAAAACATGGGTTTTTTTAAATTTAGATTCTTTGTAAGTTGCATTTCACAAAATCACAGAATGAGGATGGAAGGGGCCTCTGGAGGTTATCTAGCCAACCCCCCTCACTCAAGATTGCACTGTGTCCGGGCAGTTTTTGAGTGTCTCCAAGGCTGGAGACTCCACAACTTCCCTGGGCAAGCTTTGCCAGTGCTGGGTCACCCTCACCACCCTCATCATAAAAAAACATGTTTTCTGATGTTCAGCAGGAACCTCCTGTTTTCAAATTTGTGCCCATTGCCCCTGGTCCTGTCACTGGGCATCACTGAGAAGAGCCTGACTCTCTCTTTTTCATAGCCTCCCTTCAGATGAAAGACTTCTCCAGGCTGAAGAGTCCCAGCTCTCTCCATTTTTCTTCATAGGAGAAATGCTCCAATCCCTTCACCAACTTCATGGCCCTTTTTTGTACTCTCTCCAGTATGTCCATGTCCCTCTTCTACTGAGGAGCCAA